TTTATATTAAAATAAAGTTTATTAATTGTAGTTTAATATATATTTTTTTCAGATTTTTTATATTTTTTCTGAAAGAGTTGTTCTAATTATAAAGTTAATATAAAAATTTTTACTAATTAAAAATGAAATTTAATTAATAAAATTTTTTACACTAACTTTATAATTAGAGCAACCTGTAAAAAATATATATTAAACTATAATTGATAAACTTTATTTTAATAAAAATAAAAATTATTTCTTATTAAAATTAAAATTTTAATATAGAGAGAAAATTTCAATTTTCACTATATTTTATTAATAAATTTAGCTTCTAAGTTATTATTTTTGCTATATATTATAAATTAATAATTTAATATTAGAAATAAAAAGAAAAAAAATTTTATTTAATAAAAAATAATTAGAATTTATATAGTAATTGTTAAAAATAATTAGATATTTTAATTTTTTACTAATTATAATTTAAATTTTATTGATAATATATTTAATTTTAGCTTTACAAATAGCTAAAGTTCTCTAATTTAATATATATTTTTTCAGATTTTTTACTAATAACTTATATATAATATATATAAGTTATCAGTAAAAAATCTGAAAAAAATATATATTAAATTAAAAGAATTTTAGCTATTTTTAAAGTTAAATATAAAAAATATTTATTAATAAATTGAAAACTTTTATATATAAAGAAAAATATATAATTTACTAATTATAATTAATAAAAATATATTCAGTTACTTTTGATTACTATTATATAAAATTACAAAAATTAAACTATTAAATTTAGTTAAAAAATTAGAATTTATATAAATTACAAAAATTAAATTATTAAAGATTATATAATTTAACAAGTTTAAATTTTTTAAATAGAAAGTAATATTATTTTAAAAAGATATTAAAATTAATTTTAATTGAGATTCTGAATAATTTGATTTAAAACTAGTTTTAATAATTAATTTAATTTAGTTTTAGTTTAGTTTTTTAATTTTATAAAATTAAACTAAATTATTAAAATTAATTCTTATTTAAAATTAAACTAAAATTGAATTAGTTCTAAATAATTTCAATTTAATTTTTTTAATTCAGATTTAAGCTAAATTAAACTGGATTTAAATAGTTTTTCTGTAATAGTTAGTTATTTAACAAATAATAAAAACAGTAAATTTATATTATTTAAAAATATAATTTAATATTATATTATATTCTATTTATTATAATTCTATTTATTATATAATTATTTATTAATATAACTTTTATTTAGTATCTTAATAATTGAAGATTTAATATATTTTTAAAATAAAAGTTATAATATATAAACTCTTCTTATTAATTATTAATTAATATTAATATTTATTTTCAATATTTGTTGAAATAAATATCATCATTTTTTGCCTAATTCAATATATATATATATACAGTATATATATATTTGTATTTTTAATTATTCTATTATAGTTAATATAATAATCATTATTATATTTATTTAATTATTTTTATCTAAAAAAAATTTGATGTTAATACATTAGTAAGCAAAGTTATTGAATCTCTATAGGTCTGAAACTGCTTAATTTCAAACTGAAAAACTATTAGCTTTTGGACGATATGCTCTAATCAAAATAAATAAAATTAAAACCCTTTTACCTGTAAACTTCTTTACTTATAAAATAACCAATTTTCGGCTAACTTCAAACCTTGCATACAAGTAATGAATGACCTTCACTCTAAATAATCTATAATCCATTATTGATCGTTATTGGCAGAAACTAATTCCAAACCTTTGATTTGTAGTTTTTGGTTAGCTGAAGTCATCATTTGTTGTAGATGATCAGAAATCTTCCCGAAACCTCCTTGTTACTAGTGTAAATTCCTTTGTTGTAGGTAAATTCCTTTGTTGTAGGTCAGCAGAAACCTTCTTCACGTTCCTTTTTTGACACTAATCCAGATCAATTTGTGTACAAGTCGTCACAGGAGATCTTTAGAACGTTAAAGAAACCCTTTTTTATTCAGTCTTGTTCTCAATCTTGCCTTGTTATACTCACCTTAATTCCACTAAGCCACAAGAGTGCGGAACAATATAATATGTACATATTACACAGACTGTTTAGCCAATCATTCGAGTTAATAAATACTTTGATCTGACGTTCATCATATCTAACATGGAGTTGATTGCTCTTTAACTCGCTGAGAAATCATAATTTTGCGATTGAAAAGTAACATATAGCTTATACTTTGGTTTAGCAATGTGACAATACATACATGTACTAAGTCTGAATATCTTATGTGCCACCAAAAATAGCAACGGTATTAAATACTAAAATACACGTAACACGTGTATTATTTGAGCTTTCCAAACATCCCAACACCCAAAATCCCGACAGTCCATAGTCTTGACATTCAAAATCCCGAATGGTACAAAATTAAGATCTCGACAGTTTTGATCTATTAATTAAATAACTGACACAGCGTCACCTGTAAAAAAAAATGGTAGAAGATAAATTTGTCGGGAAGGCAATATTGATTTTACATATTAAGGTTAGAGTTATTAAGCTTAGAGATAAGATTATATTTGAAATTGCCTCCCGACATTTTTATTAGTACTCCAAGTTAAATTTAGCATCATTTTGCGCATTTTCATTTTCTTCTTTTGCCGGTTCACTAAAAATTTTACTATGATCTAAACTCGTGATAATATTATAATTTACACATTATAAAAGATTCCTGTGCTTTTATTAATTAAAGACTCTGAGTTGTAAGGTTGAAAGTCTTAAAGCATTGGGATTTTTAATCATCCGAATCTTGGGCCTCGGGATTTTGGATTTCGGGTAATTCCGATTTTTTATAATCTAAGGAATTGCACGTGCTTTTTACTGTATGTAACCATAAAAATAATTTTTTGATATTAAGTTGTTACGAACATGTAAAGTAATTTTATGAAACTAGATGGAAATCTTAGTTTAATAAGGTTTTCAAAAATAATTTTTCTTCGAATTTTAATGTAACCTACGGTTTTTGTTACATTGTATACATGTATTTACTAGAAAATAATTAGGAAATACTGTAACAATTACAAGTAAAAACTATATAATTCTGATATAAAAATGATTATTTTATGCAAAGATAAAAATGAATTAAAACAGTTCTCTTAAAAGTCTATAGACTTCTTGTTTTTCTTCTTCTTTCCCGTCCTTAAAAGCAATTCTACACCTTTTCAACACTTCATGGTAAGATTTTCGAGTACCTAAAGCATTTTTATAACAAATCGCAAGATTTATTTGATCGATAGTATTTCCCGAATTTGCGGATTTTAAGTAACATTTAAATTCCTTAAATTCATCCATCGCTGTCCCATAACCGAATCTATAAAGCAACCCAAGCATAGAGTAGCTTTTATGAAATCCATTAATAGCGGATTGATGAAAAAGACGAAACGCTTTCATATAGTTCCTTGCATCGAAATATAGATTCCCTAATTCGAATTGTGCTGCCAAATTCATCTTTTTCGCAGCTTGATGGTACCAATAGTAGGTCATCTGAAGATTTTTTGCTACCCCAATTCCGTAAAAGTAACATTGTCCGAGTAAATATTGAGCATAGACGTCTCCAAAATTTGCTGATTTTTGGTAACATTTTACGGCAAATTGTTGATTGTTTTCAATTTTGAGTTTATGCTCATAAAATAAACCCAAGAGGGTCGTGTAATGAGTGCCGTCATTTGTGGTTTGTATGAAATTTATTATTGTGTCCAGATTTAGATCTTGCTCAGTTACGTAAGAGGTAAGTTTGGCTGCAATTTCGTCGCTGTGTTCTTCAGAATTAAATAATTCGTGGAAATGGACTAAAATACTATTAATTTTGATTTTGTTGGGTAGATTGACTTTATCAGAGCTCGCATTGGGTTCACTTATGGGAGATACCATTGTAACATATTTTTAAATGGCTAACGATAAAACGAGAGTGTGAATTAGCAGTTTTAATAAATGAAAACGTGTATGAGGTTCAGGTTATTAGATTTATTATAAATGACAAATTGTTGATTTTACGTTTAGACTTTTTTTATTACCATATTCTGAAAAATTAGAAGAACTCGAAAAATTTAATCATTTCAAAGATGCAAGATAGGATATCCGTCTTATTTGTTGATTCCATAAACTTTGATTTTCGAGAAACAAAAACAACAATGCAATGCAACTAAATTTATACAAATTCTTATTCTTTGTCGTAATAAGAGCAAAAAAATATATTACTTGTGTATTGATTATCGAAACTAAGCGTAGGTTCATAAAATTATTCGAACCTAAAACGAAAATAATCTGAAAATTTTACCAATAAAATAAGGCACAAGTTATTGTTCCGATATCGTGCCTTAGACTAAATAACTTTTTAAATACATCTCAATTAATAAATATAACATATATTTAATTACATAATGCACATTATAAAACTTTTATATTCAATAATGGAGAGCATAGCAGAAAGACTAATCATATTATTCGCAGATTTATCATGTTAATTTTATTCCTTTTCCCTAATAATATACACGTTCCAGTATTGTTTCTGAATATCTATGCACAAATAAACCACATATCTTTGTGTTATAACCTGAAGGTTTTAGGATAAATTATATTTCTCGAATTCACACGTACAATCCTTTTTTCATATGATAAAATAAAATTTTTAACGTTCAATATATAAAAGAACATAGTATCTTTACAATATCAAAAATATATAACTGTATGTTTGATTCCTGTATTCTTTGTGATAACTTCCATTTATTGACGATAAATGAGCATTAGAACATTAGATTTTTAATACGATATTGACTTTCTTCTTATTTATACATCCAATAAAGAATTTATAATTCGCGAGCGCATACACGGGAATATGCTAGACGCGCGCGCGTTCATTCGTTTATCATTTAGGCTATGATGAACTGACTGATTGTAGTCATTGTGTAATGAGATCAAATAAAAAAAGAACACAAGAACAATTACAAAGTATCTTTCGGCTTCTTACTATAATTAGATTTTTTGTGCAATCTCCGAAATACTTGGCTCTTAGAATCCGGTTTCTTGAAATAAATATTGTTCAAAGTGAAACCATCGAGTAACAACAACATAAGTTAGAATATTCCTGCTCGTATATCGATATATAAAACATTGTGTGGGATAAATATTAAGAAATTGCCGGTCAAGATCGAGAAAAACGATCTTAGACACCCCGATTGAGTCTCATAGTGGCAATAAATTTCATTCTTTAATAAGTAATTTTGATTGAAGTTACTCCGTTATGTTTAAGAGTGCGGTAAAATTTTATTTGTTAGTGTAAATAGAACATAATAAAGTTTATCCTTATCGTACATTTACAGAAATAATTTTTATAGAAATTTGGAGAAGCGTACGCAACACAAAAAGAACATCACAATATTATCGTTATCGTTATACATGTACGTACATATTAAGACTTTTAATTTAATTGTTGAACACAACAACAAACGACAAATAAATTAGTTTAAATTATCATGCATAATAAAAATACACTTCGTATCGGTATTGTATTCAAAAATTCGGGAATGCGGATGAATTATACACGAGATCTGCATGTTATGCTATGAAACGTTGCATCCTAAAAAGACGAGATGTATAATAACGATAACGATAAAGATATTTATGATGATGACTACGTCGTCGCTTTCTTTTTGATAACGTGTGAATATTATTTTTTTGGTCGGTTTTGTTTCATGCGATGTGTGCCATAAAATATTAGAAACAAACAAACATGCATACAAAGTATAGAAACCTTTATAGAAAAATATCTTTTGAACAGAGTCGAACAGAATTGTATTATTTCGAAAATAAGCGAATTTAAGTAATAACAGAACGAATAGAGTTACGAAATAAAATAAAAACGAAATTAAATAACGAAGCATGGCTTTAATATCTTCTAAAAAAGCAAACTGGTTTACGATTTCAAATAAAAGTGATATTATATACAAAATTATAAAATCTAATATATTTATATATGACAAAAAATATGTTTAACTGTCCAAATTTATATACACACAATATCGATATCCACAACGCTCATAGTTATTAGAGTATAAATGCTAGTCACAGAATTCACCTCGTGGTATATCTTCATCTGCTGAATATCCAGAGCCAAATATACTACCGAAGAAGCTGCATTCTTCATTGTATTGTAAACATTGTAAGTTGTCATCGTCTTCGTCATTTGTGAAGTATGATTTTGATGCATATATGTTTTGTGCTTTGACTGAAGATGTTTCTGTTACCTCGTCAAATTCATGAAATGGGTTTTCGAGCTTATAAACGGAAAACGAGAAATTAAGTATTGGTGTCAAATAAATTGCTTAAATAAGTCACATGATCTATAAAGATCAAAACTTACGAATTTAGCTTCTTCCTCGTCTCCGTCTTCATCTTCAATCTCACTAATTGTATTCCAGATACTAAAATATGGAATATAATTGGATTGCTTCTTTTCTTTAACTATTTTCTTTTCTTCTTTAAGTTGTTGTTTTAGTTTCATTTCAACGTGTACTGCCAGTTGTTCATTATCAAACGGCACGACAGCATCTGGCCAAATTTCTAATGCTTCACACGAAGGTGTTGAACATTTCGACGAAAAGTCACTTTGTGGGTCATCGAGAAATTTATCGTCTATCTGTTTACTGTAGTCGTATGTGAAGAATTTTATTACGGCGGATATAAGTTTTGTTGGTGACACGAGAAAAATACCCGTTGAACTATTTTTCGATGACATTTATTATATGGATTGGGTCGAGGTTAATAAGTTTACGAATTTTTAAAAGAGAAGAAAAGTGACAATATGGCTCGAGCATTTTGTGATGAGGCACCACTTATATATCTACATGTACATATGATTTTTGCAGCACGGATAATCCTGATTTTGATTTAAGAAGCGGTTGTACTGGCACCTTGCAGGTTTTTTGTTGTATTCTTACTATTTTATTTATATATACAGTACATGTATATTTTTTTAACAATTACCGATAGGTTGTACGTAACTTATGTTATTGGTATTAACGGTAAGTACATGTACAATTATTTCCTTTTTAGTATGTGGCGATCTACATATGGTTCCCGTATTATAAAGGGATAGCCCCATCCAAGAAAGCACGGAGACAAATACGAGGGGCGCCATTAATATCTTTATTATATGCCACATTATTTTAAACGTTTGTCCTCATGAATATCTGGCCAAGTCGTTGCTTCAATTAAAGCTTTGCTGCCACAACTTCTTTATTGGACTGGTTATTTTTTGCGATGCTCGTGACAGCAGATATTTTGGCGAATTTCAATTAGGGATGGGTTGGCTCGGTTTGGTTCGGTTCGGTTCAAATACAGAAGAAACGTAACACGAAAAGTTTTACGAAAAAATTCTAGTGCCTCTAACTTCGATTAAATCCTTTACTCGTTTTAAGGCTATACTCTAGAGCATGTCTTAAAAAAAGCCATTCTAAAAAATTAAGTGATCTATATAAATATTTTAATTAGTGAAATTGTAACTCCAAATATTTTTGCTATCAAGGAATTGTCCTAATAAAAATGTGTTTCTTGATGAGAATTATCTGCATACTAATTTTCAGCTAAATTGATACCAATTCGTTTAGTTATTAAATCCCGAAGTACCAAATTAATGTTGGTAAAAAAAGGTTGGTTTATTTTATAGCATCAATTAGGTACTGCGGATACGTAGTTGGTATTTTTGTTATAAAGTCGGGTCTCAATTTTATACATAATATATACATGTAGTTATTTTTTAAGTAGATAAAAGAAAGTAGAGCTAAGGTAATGAAATAGCAAGAAGATATTCTTAAGATATTATTCTTATATCAAATTGCTTTTAAATAGCATTGTTTTAAGAGTATAAAGTTCTATTTATAAGTATTCTAAAAATAAATTTTTATATATAATTATATTATATATTTTATTTATTATTAAAAACTATCTGTTAATTTATTCTTTAAATTAATAAAAAATAATAATAATTTCTTGAATCAGAAAGAGATAATTATAGTGAGTTTTTTTGAATAAATGAGTAAATCGTCTTTATATCATATTAATTTAGAAATAAATATTATTTATATTGGTTGAGTAATGCTTATTTTTAAATGAATCTGATAAATATTCAGAAACTATCTATAAATAAGCATCACTCTTTATTTTAAAATTTAAAAAATAATAATCAAATAATATTTATTTTCAAAAGAACACAGTAGCTATAATTTTTATAATTATATTATAAAAAATAAATTTTTAATAAATAGCTATTTAATCTATATTTTTATTTTCTCTTTTTAATTTATATATAAATTTTTAATAAATATTTAAATAAATATTATTAATTAAAATGATAAGATTTATCTATATTAAATATTAAAATTTTACTTAGATTTTAATATATATAATTCAAATATATTTTTATATTTAATCTTTATTAACAAAAATATTTACTTTGAAATATATTAAGAATTATATAAATATATTATTATATAATTTATTATTTCTTTTTTATAAACAAGATTGACTCTTAAATCAGCTTAAAATATTATTTAAATATTTATATAATTAAATTAATAATAATTTTTCAAAAATATTATTCAAGAATCTAAATAATTTATAATAAAATAAAAATTTAGATTTTTATAATATTTTGAATTATAATTATATAAATTTTAAAACAAGAAAAGCTATAAATTAAAATAAAATATAAAAGATAATTTATTATTTAATAAATATAGTAATAACTAAAAGTAATAACTTAAAGACTAAATTTATTAATAAAACATAATGAACATTAATTTTCTTTTTATATAATTTTATTAAGAAATAATTTTTATTATTATATCAAAATAAAGTTTATTGATTATAGTTTAATATATATTTTTTTCAGATTTTTTAGATTTTTCTGAAAGTTATTCTAATTGTAAAGTTAATATAAAAATTCTTATTAATTAAAAATGAAATTTAATTAAAAATTTTTATATTAATTTTATAATTATAATAATTTTTCAAAAAAAATCTGAAAAAAATATATATTAAACTATAATTTATAAATTTTATTTTAATTTAAAAATAAAAATTATTAATAAAATTATAAAATTTAATATAAAAAAAAATTTTAATTTTTATTATATTTTATTAATAAAATTAATTATTTAATTTTATAATTATGAGAGTTATTATATAATAAAATCTTTTAATTTAATTTAAAATTTTTATAAAAGATTTTATTTTAGTAAAATTAGATTTATTTAAATATATATTTATAATTTAATTAATTATAATTATTATATAATTATTTTTAAAAATATATAAGTATATTTAAACTTAATTTTATATAAAGAAATTATATAAAATATAATTTAATAATTATTATAAAAAAATAAATAAGTAAAAATAAAAATATTTAAAAAAAGAAAAAAATTTAAAATATATATTATTAATAAAATAAAATAAGTAAATAAATTATAAAAAATTACTTAATTGATAGTATATAAATAAATAAGAATTAAATTGATATAATAAATATATACTTTTTTGTTAAGTTATATATAATTATATAATTATTCAGCTTTAAAAAAAATAATTATAAAAATAATATTATTATAATTAAGTTATTTTTAAGTTTTTATTTGAAATTTTTTAATATTGAAAATATAAATTTAAATAAAAGAAAAATATTTTATTTTTTAAAAACTTAATATAACTCTGACTAATAATTAGAAAGTTTTTTAGTATTTATTTTTTCTTAAACTGAAGATAATTTTAACTGTAATAATTTTGATTAGATTATCTCTCTTTAAGTTTAGATCTTTATTTTATATTATTTGTATAATAAATTAATTTCTGTATTACTTTCTATAAAGATTATTTTCACTTTGGATATATAAATAATCATTTATATATTTAATATATTAGATTTAATATATTGTCATACAAGTAATTATTATATATATCTAT